CCACCTAACTTCTTGTATCCCTGCCATCATCCATGGACACTTTGTATTGCACAGCCAGATGCTGAATGATAGGCACTTGATAAAGGTGAAGTCTTGACCTCAGGCTCTCTTGTAGCCTGTGTAGGCTAAGTTCAGATTGTCAGGGGAAGAGTTCGAGCAAGAATCTGAAGACTTGATCTGTCGGATTTTTGGCTGTTTAGATAGCCTGGAAAGGCCCGGGGTGGCCTTGGGGCAGCCCGCGCTTCAAAGGACGAGAAGAGGCTTCAAATCTTTTCTCGGTCTCGGTGTTTATTAATTGCTTATCTAAAAGATTTTCTCTTGGCCCGACAGAGGTCTGCTCAGCAGCCAGCCATGAGCACACTCCCTGCCCTCCGGGGCGGTCACCTATCTTTATACTCATAGTTACGTATACAATATTTATCATTTTTCCCCAATACCTTTTACCCTTATTAACCAGTGCATTTTTAGTAATAGCCAATCCTAAAGTGCCACCATCACCACAGAAGATGGAGGAGAAGAAGGAGGACAGGACACGCCCCAATTCCTCCATCTTACTTCTCTAAACCCCCCTGTACAGAAATCCTAAACCCTGTGTCTCACTCTCTAGTTAACTTATCCCTTCACCATTCACCCCGGTGAAATCCTCCTATCCTCATACAGGTGTCGTCTCCTGTGTAGGATCAAAGTCCAGCCACCAGACACTTCTGGCAACATTCCAGGACTCCCGAGCCCCCCAAGGGTGGTCTCGGTGACTCGGCACCTCAGTCCTGAGGTGCTGAGATCCCACATTGATCCTGTCAGATTGTAGCCATTGCTACAGTTGTGGTACTTGAAACTTGACTTCTTTTTTTCCTCAAGTATGTGTAAAGGAGCGAATCAGTCTGTGCTCAAAGACATTTTTGAGCAGAGGCAATAAAAATAAATTCTGTATAAATGAAAATATTTTAGTGAACTCCTGAGTGGCACTCAAAGAACCTTTATAAGAAGTACTGATGTCTGATTAGGGAATGAATACAAGAGTAAGCAGAAGATTTTGATGCAACTGATGCTTTATTCCTATCTTAATTCTTATTTGGATGTATATCCAGGCAAGGCTTACATCCTGATACTGTTGCAGTGAGCTCTGCAGTGAAAGTCAGGCTCTTCCATCAAATGATACATACCAGTTCCGTCACTACAGATTATTTTTTCAAAGAAGTTAGTTTTTTCCTTGTGCTTTTTCCTTTGAACTCATGCGTTTATCCATAATCTTTGTGAACTTTGTGCCATACCTGGGGGAGCTGCAGTTTAATAGTATCCTGTGCTATAATCTTCATTTCTTCCTGTAGGCACCTTATCAAATGTGCAGAATTGTACCAAAGCTCTGATCATCTGGCTAAGGGGATTAATGTCACCTAATGCAGTGTGTTGGTACCAAACAGATTACAAGGAGGAAAAGAGGTTTGGAGGCTGAGTCAGTGACTTGGAGGAGGAGAGGTGTAAAACCCCTCAGGAAATCAGTAATCATCTCAATTTGCAGCTTTTGTAGCTAATGTACTGTGTGCAACTAAATATGTTTTCTGGGGTTGTGGGCTGTACTTGCTGTTCAAGTGTCAGAGAGGATGCTTGTTATAGAGCATGTTATCTTGTCTTAGATTTCATCTTCTTAAACCAAGTCCATAAATATTTGTGGTGTTTAAAATGCATGTGTAGCATCTCTGGTAGTTTGTTGAACCTTAGTAAGCATATGGGGATGTTAAACATTAACAGGGTGCTACATAACTGTGGATATAATTAACTTCATTTGGTCAAGACAGTAAAAGCATACTCTATGTGCATTATGTAGCTGATAAATGCTCTTTTATGGAGACATTCCTTTGACTTGCCAAATAATGGGTCACTAATCTGAAGCCACATCTACACTGTAGGCACAGAAGTGAACACAGGCTGCATTAGCTTGCTTGACATGTGTGCACTAGAACAAGCTTGAGAATCTCTGCCACATTCTGGTCATGTATGAAGTGTCTGTAGACAAGCTGCTAGTTTAAACTACAGAGAGATGCTGTTCACATTTTGTCTTTTTAGCTTCCCCTGCTCCTTTAAGCATATTTGAAAACAGGGTGCTTCTTCAATATTTCTATTGCTATGTAACTGAAAAGTAATTGAACATAAGTTGAAAATCCAAGACAAGTGTATGTTTGGGAAGGCTGTTAGCAGATATGTGCTTTACTTTGCTGTGCTGTGAAGAAATAATTGCATGAGAGGACTGCCAAAAGTATTTGGTCCTGTGTACTGGAGGTGCCCCTGGGGCTGGTAATGAGGGTCTGTGCACTTGTCAATCCAAACCCTCCACAGCTGGCCCCAAGTCCCTCTGGAGTTTCCATTTTATGGCTTGACGTCCCTTTGACTCCTTGCTCCCTGCTTTAGTATTTTATTATGTGAGTACTGGGGCAGACGGAGGACTGTGTGTGCCTGAATGAGAGAAAAGTTAAAAATTGGTGTAGATGATACTTAGAGCTGATTTATAATTAAAAACCAAGAGCTTTTGTGCTCCATAGGCAGTTGGTGTGTTGGGGTTTTGTGTTGGTAATTTAACTGGGTCTCTGCAGTGCCAAGTGGTGTTTTCACTGCCAGAAAGTGGAGTGCTTAATAGATCTATCCAATGGTATTAAGTAAATTTTATGGTTTTGTCAACTTTTTCCTGTATTTGGCTTTTAGGAACAGGACAGCTGCTAGACTTCTCAGGTGGTTTAGTTTGCATATGAAGTTTGAGCTTAGCAAGTTTGTTTTATCCCAAATTATTCATCAAGTTATTTTAAGAGTGATTTACTAACAAAACACCTATTTAGGTATTTACTAAACAAAACCAAGGCCATAAAGCATAATGGTGAACAAGATAACTCTGCCTTTTTTTTTTTTTTTTTGATCAACAGTGATCCAGATGGATCTATTAAATGGCTATTTAAGTTGCTCTCACAGGATGTGAACTCTGAAAAAAAAGCCAAGTAAAAATCCTCTGTCTATCCTATTCCCTAAGCACCCTATTCTCCTCCTATTTAAATAGTAAAGCTTTTAGCTATCAGTTACTTTTTTTTGAGTGATACATGGCTGACTTGAGATGTGGAAAAGTTTTGTCTGAAGCTTTATTTAAGGAAATACAAAATAATTTGGAACTTTAACTAAAACTGATGGTGAAAGGAATTAGGGTTGTTTGTACAGATGGGGCTAGAATGGAAATATTTAATCTACATGTAGGTATTTCCAAAATACCTCATATGATTTGGTAACCTGATCTACCTTTTCCATGACAAAAGGGCATTTTGGGTGTCTTATCCAATTTAGAAACCTAGTCCTGAGTGTTTTTCCAGTCTTGCCTGATTTAGACTAGATCAACTCTGAATTCCATGAATTTTTATTTACTTGGAACTGACATAAAATGAGAGAAGAATCAAGTTAAAGTAACTGCCAATAAATCTGATGAGGATATTCAGATATAATGGAGACAGTCTTCTGTTTTGGAGTTGGACTTCAGTAACATCTTTGCTGAGGTCAGAGTTGCATACATAAGACATTTGTGACATCAGGAAAGCGCCCTTGTGCTTTCTGATCTGACCTGCATAGTCTGAGATTGGAAAGATGGCCTGGAAAATGGGGAGGTCAGCTGGAGGAGGGAAGGGAATCATTAAGGTTGGGAAAGTCCTTCAGGATAATTCTAACTGACAAGTCCACCACTAAACTTCACTGCTGCGTCTACACGACTTTTTAATACCTCTGGGGATTGTGACACTTCCCTGGGCAGCCTGTTTCAATACCGGTCAACCCTTTGCCCTAATTTTTTCTTTGTATCCATTCTAAACCTCCCTTGGCACAACTTGAAGCCATTTCCTCTTGTTCTTACCATCTTTCACCTGGGGCAAGACATCCCCCCTTCAGTACCATCTCCTTTGTGTGGTTGTAGAGGGTCATTAGGTAGGTACTGCTGCCTTTTTCTCCAGGCTGAACAATCAGAGCTCTTCCAGCTGCTCCTTATGAGAGTTGTGCTCCAGACCCTTCCCCAGCTCCATTGCCCTTCCCTGGACATGCCCCAGCACCTCACTTGTGTTTTCCTGAATTGAGGGACTCAAAACTGAACTTGAGGTGTCGCCTCATCATTACCGAGTACAGGAGGACGGTCACTGCCCTGCTCCTGCTGGCCACACCTGGCTGATCCAGGCCAGGATGCCATCGGCCTTCTGGGCCACCTGGGCACACTGTGGATCATGTTCAGCTGCTGTTTGCCAGCACCCCCAGGTCCTCTTCTGCCAGGCAGTTTCTCTGCCAGTAGTGCTGCCTGGAGTTGTTGTGACCTTAGTGCAGGATCCAGTGCTTGACCTTGCTGAACCTCATACAACTACCCTTGGTCCATCAATCCAGCCTGTCCAGAACCCTCTGCAGGGCCTTCCTGCCCTCCAGCTGTTCAATATTCTCACCCAACTTGGTGTTATCTGCAAACTGACTTAGGGTGTTCTCAATCCCCCTCATTGAGCTCATTGATAAAGATGTTAAACAGAAATAAAATAAGCCTGCAGTGTCTTTTGTAGACCATTCAAGGTGTCTCTGAATATATTTGTGGTCTTTCTCCTTTTGGATATGGTGATGGCAGGAGGCAGGGAAGCCTGCACTGTTAATCTGTAAACTGTCATAGTTGAAGCAGAAACTCGCATTGATATTCCCAATATAATATCACCAGTGTTATGCCAGTTAGGAGGGACTGGGTAAGGAAGGCAAAGCTTTGATAGCTTTCATATAGATTTGGTCCCTTTTGCATCAACTATCACCAGTTAGGTAAATGTGAAACTATTTTTAAAGCTACTTTTTTCTTCTGAAATAATTTGGCACGGGTTCTGAAGCTTAGTTATTGAATAAAGGAACTTTCCAGCAACTGCCTTTGATTACTTCTAAATGTAGGTTACAGCTGTCCTTTTGGGAAAGGCACATAGCTCAGCATGTGAGAAACTGACACCTTTTTCTCTCCTTTTCAGAGTATCTCCTCTACAGAAGTCCGAAATAGTAGACATGGTCAAGAAACACGTCAATGCCATAACACTTGCCATTGGGGATGGTGCCAATGACGTAGGAATGATCCAGACAGCTCACGTTGGAGTGGGGATCAGTGGCAATGAGGGCATGCAGGCAACCAATTGCTCGGATTATGCCATTGCACAGGTCAGATGCAAGAATGAACAACTGCCATATCATCTTTGGGAAATGCACTGTGCAGCCATGTAGTGCTCGATCAGCTTCTTCTAAGCTAGAAGCATCTCTGATTGTTTCTATTTCCAGGCAGCTGTCTAGCTGTCTGTATATTTTGGAAATATTTTGGGTATTTGTTATGATTTTGTATTCTTCGGGGCAAAGTCCCACCTCTCTTCAAAGTTTTAGTTTCCTCCTGACAACTGTGCAATATCTTGGTTCTTCAGTAATTAGGGTGAAACAATTTCTGTGATGCTTGTGTTAATATGCTTTTAAGTAACTTGGTGTAAACTCTTCTCTTACTATGGGTAGGCTCTATAATCAGGTGTGTGAGAATCTGGCTGTTGGGCAGTTCTTAATTTGAGGTGTCTCCTCGATCTTTATTTCCCCTTGCCCCCTGTGTTGCATCAAAGAACTGATCACAGTTCTAGAGAGCTGGTCAGCATTTTCATTTTACATGTGTTATTTTGAACATTATTTGGGGTGAGTGCTCCTAAACTAGTTCATCAAGTTCAGAACTGATTACTGCAGCTAAAAAGAGGAGTTAAAAGCCATTTTTGTTTGTTCTGCTGAAGAAACCACAATTTAGAATCAGGATTTTGAAAGGAAAATAAGAAAGGAGGAAGATGCTTCAGGTGATGAATATCCTGTGAATACTGTTTACACCTGAGGTGCTCCATGTGTTTGAGACTATGCAGGGAAAAACCAGATCGAACTGACAGGAAGAGGAGACAATCCCTTGTGTCCTCAGTGACCAGAGCTTCCGCTCATGTTCCCTTCTGGCAGGGTATGGTCAGATTTGTTCTACCAAGTGATGTGAAATACTACCATCTTTTGCTAGCTCCCAGTAGGAGGTGAGGTTTTGAAAAGGCAGGGATAATGCTGCTGTATGCACAGATAACTGTTTATTGTGGTAACCCTGCTGAGAAGCAAAGTGTCAGTCTTGTATTGCTGCTCTGTTGTGACCTCTGATGAAGAACACTGAGAAACCTGAAGTTTCAGGTTTGAATAACTGAGACCTTTCACAAAATCTATCTTGAGAATTTCAGTCAGTTTAACCAGGTTTTTCTGTCATGAGCAGTGGCATATTCCAAATATATACCAGTATAGGAACTGCCATAGCCATCGTCTCTGGTATCTCATAACGAGTTTTACATTTTTAATTTCAGTGGATTATGTGTAGCTTCTGCTGTGCAACTTAATGGAATACTTTTTACTTGGACTTCCTCAGATCAATTATTACTTCTGCTTTGGTAACTAAGCATAAGCAGCAAGAATTTTGTCCGTAGAAGGCCCTACACATGTTATTTCTTTTTTGTCGCAGTAGTGCTAAATCTGGAGAAGTAATTCCATGTTCATGTGTTGCCTTTGCACTAAAAAAACCCCTGTATTTCAGTTTAGTGTTAGAACATGGAAGCTGCTCTTCGTTTAAATTCCAGTCAGCAAGTTACTGACAAGAACGATGAATCTTTTTCATTTAATATGAAATAAAAGCTGGTGACACCAGCACAGAATTGCAGCATTCAAAAATTAGTGAAACACTGTGGAACTGGTTTTTTTTTGTGATTGTGTAGTAGAATTTGTACTGATTAAATCAGAAAACAGATTAAAAAATCCCTGTAGTAGAGGAGACTAATACTGTGTGGTAGTATGTGCTTAAAAAAAAAAGTAAATTAGTGTTCAAAAGAAAAACATGATCTCCATGGAGTGTATTTCTTTCAGCAAAGACATATAACTCCCACTAAAACATTACTGTATGTGCATGCCTTGAAGGCAGAGTATGTTCTTATTGAGTAATTTAAGACGACCACTGTAATGTAGCATCTCATGTTCAAATGCTATTTCAAATGCATTGCTGCCAGAAGTAGGCACTTAGAGAAGAGAGAGTCTCTATATAGGCTCATTTGGGATTCCAGGGAGAATCAAAGCATAAACCAAACAAAAATAAAAAGCCAACTTGTGTCTGACTCCACTTGAAATAGCTTCCACAGGTGCAAGGAGCATCTGTTTGAATCATCCTTTTCCCTTGAAATGATATTGAACCAGTGACCTCTGTTTAGAGAATTCCCAAATCAAATGACCTAGCTAGTTAGAGAGACAGTAGTAGACTTTAATAACTTTTTTTCTCAGTAAATAGCTTTATCATCTTAATCCAGAGAACATCTGGTGTCTAGGGACTGTTTCCTTTTCTTAATTAAGCTTCTTCCTTCAACAAATGTTCTTGTTTTAGTTTTCTTCTTTGGAAAAATTAGCTTGTTTTGTGGATGCCTTTCACGGTCTTAAAACCCCCAACATCCTTCATCCTTTAGTCAAGACAGATTCTAGAAGATAATCTCTGTATAAAAGAAGTTATGCTAGGGTTGATACAGAGACGACTGAAAAAACTCACACAGTGTTTCACAGGTAGGCTGGCCAGATGGTCATAATGTTTCCTGCTGATTTAAAATGTGGTAAATACAGGAGCAGCCAAACAAGGACAATGTCTTGGTAGAGCTCCTGTCTGTACTGCTCTGTGCCAGTAGCTGTGCATTTGCACAATACCAGCATTCTTTAGGCTCTGAGTATCTTCCTTGCTGTGCTCTGTAATGTACTCATTTTCATGAGAGCGCAGACAAGAGCAATTAATGGTAGGATTTTTTGTTGCCTTGAGCTTTCAAGAAGACCACATCCAAGATGGTCACTTGCTAGATTCAGCAGGGAGAGTTTCTCAGGCTGTTTCTGACTTCTCCACAGGAGCTTTGGGATGGCTTGTAAGGATATTGTGGCAAGTTTCCCATCACCTTGGTGGTGTTTTCTTAGTGATTTTGATGAGGAAAGTTGTAGCTCTCCTGCAAATTAACTGGAGGCATTTAGGGGTCTAACAGGTCAGCTACTCCCTTGGGAGTGTCCCAGTTACAGCTCTAGCTCAAGTTAAGCAGAGAACAGTGAAGCCTGGTTCAGTTTTGTTTTCTCTCCTTCTCTCCTGGCGTATCCTAACAAATCTGAGTTGCTGATGCATGGGAGAGAGGCTGTCCTTACAGGATTTGTGGTTCAATGATTTCATTGCTGGAAAGCATGGGAGCAGAGCTGCCTCACAACAGCCCTAACTCATTACGGTAGCTTTCAATTTCAGATAAATTTTGGTTAAAATAAATGATCTGGAATCTAAATTTAGAAGTCAGGGTTTTCCTGTCAAGTCACTTTGTGGAAAAGGAAGCAAAGCAAATAATTACCTTAATGTCCAAGATCCCTTCAGGTACATACATGTAAACAGTAAACAGTTATCCCTTCGAGCTGTGGGCAAAAGAGGAATGCTGCAGGTCATAAAAAGGTTCGCTAACAAAGCCAAGACAAGAAAATTATGCATTTCCCAGTCTGGATTACAACACTGAGTCCATAAAAGTCCGTTTTCAAAAGTTCAGAATTTGAGCTCCATCTGGGGTTCAAACTAGCATTAAAAGGTATGCAATTATATAAGATTAGTTTACTTACCCTTTTTGGCAAATGCACCTTGCTTTATACAATATTTTATATAGCACACAATCGCATGCATTTTGGGGGCAGAAAATGTTAATGTAATTATCTATTCTCTATAAATGCATCTATTTTTCCACTTTTTGTTCCCCTCTTGTGTATTTTGTATCAGCTCAAGACAGTTTTGTTTATTAGGCTGTTCATTTTACAGAGGGAAAGGAGATTCTGAACCTTGTAAGCCCTCAAACATTGATTTTACCATCAGAATGGTAATAACAATTGAAGACTTTTTGCCATTTAAAACCACTTTTTAGAACCTTCAGGAGTTTTGCTAAAGAAAATATTTTAGCTTTCAGTATTTTAAGAATTGTTTTTTGCATATATCTTCAGTTTAGTTGTTTAAATATTGTACTTCAACTGCTTCCAGGGCTGATTTGAGGGTGTTTTTTTTTTTTCCTTGAAGACATGTTTGCTTTCAACCTTTTTTTTTTTTTTAAGCAATTCTTCATATATGTAAATACTTCTTTTCTGTCTTTCAGTTTTCCTATTTGGAGAAGCTATTGTTGGTCCATGGTGCTTGGAGTTACAATCGAGTTACCAAATGCATACTGTACTGCTTCTACAAAAATGTGGTTTTGTATATTATCGAGGTAAGAGAAACTAAATGGATGGGTCTTACCGGTGCTCATTCCTTAAATCATCTCTTGTAACTAGAAAAGCTCACCCAAATGGATTGAGCAAGAAGGACTGCAATTTTGTTTCCATGTTTAACAATTTAAAATTCGGTTTTTCTCCTCAAATCAGTTCACTTGAATCTTTTAATGTTTGTAAAGGAAGACCAAAGGTTTTCAGTACTGTAAAGCTTTGGATATGAGATGTCAAAGTTCATTCCTTCTCTGCAAACACTCTTATTGAAAGCATCTTTGTATTCATGGAAATATTTCAATTAGTGCTTATATTTATAAAAACTGGAATTTGGGAGCTAAATTTAAATCAAAAGTGCATTTAATAGGTAAACAAAAAGCTATTCATAACTATAGCTGTAGCTTTCAAGTTACAAAGACCATAGATTAGCTGGAACTGAAATTAGTTTGCTTTGTTTTTAGGAAAGACATGACATAATTTTGCAAATTATGTTCATTTACAAAATGAATCAGGTTATTTGATTTAATAATTAAAACATTAATGTGTTTTGAAAATAATTTGCGGGAAGATGTCAAGTACTGAAACTGGTTTTTAAAGAGGGCTGAATACTATTACTACCATTCCATTTCAGCATGCTTAAGATAAGAGTGTAGTTCTCACACTGCAGAATATAGTCTTGAATTTAGGATGTATCAGGAAGGGAATTTTATAATATGCTTTAGCCTAGCTAGAAATAGTCAAGGAACTTGAAGTCAGTGTTTTGATCAGCTGAGTATCAAGTGATCACTTGGTACAGCAATTTCCAGAGTGTTCATCAGTTTTATTAATACATGTGCATATAGATTAGGTTTTCTATTTCTTTGTACAGCTGAGCAGCCATGAATGAGGTTAACAGAAAATTGCAACATTTATAATTAGGCAGGTAGTTATATCAATTAGAGAAGATAGTGGGTGAGTAATATTTTGCTATTCAGTAAGTAATTAAGTAATATAATGATCAGTGTGGTCAGTATTCCTGACTCCAGCAGGGTTTGATCTTCGTCTGTGTATGATGTTATAGAACAGATATTGTCCACTAACTTGTCCACATTTCCTGTTATATTTCTGAATTAACTGTTATCTGTTCAAATTTCAACACTCATTAGTCTACTGCAAGAGAGTTATCCTACACATCGTGTTTTTAGTAAAGGCTTTTACATGCTGTTGGAGATAATAACAATATTTGTGCAAAGAAAATATAAATAGCTTTAAAAAGAGCTCTTCTGGTGTATTTCTTACTGAGCATGGCTATCTGTTACTGGAGTTTTGCCTGAACTTTTCAGAAAATGCTAATAGCTTCATGATCTTCTTCTAGGATTCTTTTCTCTATTTGAAAATTAGTTTTGGAAGTCCTGCTTCTAGCTTATTACAGCACCACGTGTCTCTGTTTTTCTTGCTGTAGTCTGACAAATTAAGTTCTGCATCAAATGTTGTATAAAAGCTATACTTTCCCATATAAGCGACTGTGCAAGGAGTTGAATAATAGTGAAGTTCTCTGGGACCCCCATCCTGAGGTAGCTCAGTTGTTTTACCCTAGGGTAGAATTTTATTCACCAGATATCTCTACATGATACATAAAATCCAGGTCTGCTCTGAGAATGAGGTCAGGAGTTCTCTTCACTGTCTTAGGCCATGTTCACTTCTTTTTGCATGCTGTCCTGAGACAAATGAGCTTTTGTGTCTCCTCATGTCCACGACTGAGAAGCAATCAGTTCTACTAATACCTGAGCACTGAAAAATGTCTTTACAAGATGCCACTCTGCACCTCAGTTACCTCTCTGTGCTTGTGCTGCATAGAAGTTGGGAACAAGTTTAAGGCTTTAAGGGAGATGAAGTGACAGAAATAATCCTGTTCTCCTGCAGCAATGGGAAGAGCTCAATTTGGTTTTCCCTGTTGATTTTCCTTTACTAGCAGCCTTAAGGAATCTCCCCTCCAAAACTGTGTAAAATAGCCAAATTGTATGGAAACCCAAGAGAGACACCAAGAGTTCTGGTATCCTAGGGATACAGGGTAGAGAGAAGACATCTTTATTTCCCTCCTTAGCTTTACACAAAGAAAGAGAGGTTGTTTTGTGTATGTGCTGTGAGGCTTGGCAATGTTGATCAATTTGTGGTATGAAATGATGCTCATGAAAGAGATGCTCCACGAAGAAATAAATCCTTCAACTTGAGAGACTGGTAGTTAAATGCCTGGCACTTCTGCACTGTTGCTTATGTCTGTGGTGTGTTCCTCATTGTTTCCTGGTGCTCTGGACAAGTTTAATATTTACCCATACTTTCTGCTTGCATATATGGTGTATGGGGAATATCCTTTTAGCATTGTAATGAAACAGGGATTTGAACTTGAGCTACTTTGTAAGTATCTTCAGAAGGATTGTACTAAGTAAATATTTATACAGTTGAATGAAAAAGCACATCATGAATATGACTGCCAGTTCTACCTTTGTTTCTGTATCTCTTTTATTTCAGTGGAGTTTTAACACTTGAGGAATAGATATAGTAAGCCTTATATAAATGGCTTTTGCAGCAGAGAGGCACTGGGCCTATCATAACTTTTATTCCCTGATACTTTGCAAATACCACAGGGAAGAAAAAGGTGGTGGTCCAGCTTGGCACGCAGAACATCTGGACAGATCTTGCAGAGGCATGCAAGTTAAGGCATTAAGATTTAACTTAATTAAACAATGGTAAATGCTTGAGAAAAGCATATTGCCATCTGTTTTCCTAGCATCCCAATGTTGGTATGCTAAAACTCCTCATATATTAGAAGTTCATCTTGATACCAGTTATGTACACTTAAACCTGGAGGATCCAAAGTGTTGCATCCCTGAAACATTAAATTTACCAGCTTTTTTCAGGTTCTAGGTTAAAATACGCAATTTGGGGTTTTGTGAAAAGTATACTTAGGTAATTGTCATCATGGGCTTTACTCCTAGGAGTTGCTGTGGGATTAAGGCTGATGCTTAGCTTTCTGCAATGGCTGATTCTTTGTGGAGAGGCAGGGGCCCAGGAACTGTTTTCAGCTGCTTTGATGAATAAAATGTGTGCCCATATTGAGGTAGTTCCATGCAGCTAGAGAGTGGTACAGCAGATAGGAGGCCTTGTGGTTTAGTGATTGCAGGGGCAATGGAGCTGAGAGTGTATTTTCCTCTCTCTTGAAAGTGCCCTCCTAGTATTTTTCAAGAGGTGAATTTTAAGTCATCAAAAGTTTAGTGAAAACTGAAAAGATTTTGTCTTAGCTTAACAACTGGAAACTCTGTGTTCCTCTTCTTTCTCTAGCCTGGTCTCTATCATTTCTTCATCATGGTGCCCCTGCCATTCTCTTGATTTCTCCCCTTAATTTTTGAAAGTACAAAACTAAGTGAAGTATAACTAAAAAGCACAAAGAGAAGCAGATCCTGGAAATTCAAGTCCTTTTGGTGTGATTCTTAGCCCAATTCCTGAACCCTTGTATATCACTGTTGCCAAGGTGTTTCAGGGTATGAAGTTGCGGTTCTCTTACTTATGGACTCACCTATAAAAGGGGTGCAGAATCTAACCTTTCCATCCATGGAGCTGGTTGGCAGATTAACTGCTGCTTCTTCCCCATCCTTGACTATCCATGCTGGGTCTGTCCTAAGAGGAGCAGGGGAATCTGCTTGGAAAGCTACCAAGATGGCCATAGGGATGAAATGCAAATATAAAGCCCTCTCTTTGGTGTCCATTCCTGTATTTCCTATCTGCATGTACTAGCACTGTGCACTAAATCTGTTTGTAAGGAAAGCTAACCATTCAGCATCATCCTGAAGCAGAAGACCAGTGACAAGGTTTCAACTGTTAAAGATTTGACAAACAAGTAGCTGGGCATACTCAAAAAATACCATTTCGTTCAATTACTTACGTAGCTGGCTTCAAACTGAGTAGTGAAACAGAAGAAGTGTTTCACATCTGTTGAGCAGATATGTTTAACTGGAGATGATATAAAGTTGTCCTGTTGACATCAGAGCTTTGAAATATAGCTGATTTCAAATGTAAAAGAATACAGGAATATTGCTTTCATGTCATGCTTGGAGAAGTAGAAACACAGCAAGATCAAAGGTGGTATCAGCAATATCAGGTAAGAGTTCAAGGCCTTTGGGAATGGTTCTGTGGAAACAGTAGCATGGAAGATAGCTTTCAGGCCAACTCAGTGTGCAGGAAAAATATGCTCAGTTCTTCACTGGAACATGTGGGTTTTTTGAAACATACTTAGTATGAAGCACTTTGGTATTATATATTGCAGAATGAGTCAGAGGTGGGAGTAGATGGCTCCCATGTCAAGTCTGGCAGTGTAGGGCCATGACAGAGAAATGAATGGCAAGTGGGAAGGGGAGAGCATAATGTACATACCTTGGTTGCTGCATAATTTTAATTTCTACTTTAAGAATCCAGAGATAAATTGTAAGCCTAGATTAGAATGCTGTTTCTTTGTAGCTGCTGAAAGGAAAGTCTAATATCTGAGCGGTGTTAAACAAACGAGATAAACATACTGAACAACAAACCACTAAGATCATAATTTTTATTCCAGAGCTGAATTTCTAAGTTTCAAAAGCTCTGAGCAAACAAAATACCTAGATAAACGTGCTTTTAAACAAGAGGTGATTTTGTGAGTCAGCAGGGTCTGGCAATGAGAGCTGTTAAGTGCACTCGTAGTGGTCACCACTTCAGACGAGCAGATAGCTCAGGCTGCCAAAGCACACATCAAGTGTTGCTGCATGAGACCTTGCATTTGTTTTTCCTGTTTTCTTGCTTTTCCATCAAACACAACAGGTACTTTAAAAAATATGGAAAGCGGGGATGGGAATTTCAACTCTTTTCTCCAAATGGTAGGCAGAAATGAGTGTATCTGTTATGGTACTAAAAATATACAGCTACAGTGCTTCTGTGTGCTTATCCCTGATTTATATGATCTGACTTTTACCTACATCTCTGTGCTTTCTGTTTCCAA